TGCGTTAGTCAAAAGGCAAGGCGTAGTGAAGAGTGCACGCCTTGCAATACATAACGCAGTGTTTTTGATATATGGCAGCGTGACTTTGTTATATGGCAGCGAAACCTGGGTATGCCAGAAGAAGCATAAAAGCAAGTTGAATGCAGTGGAGATGCGATCTCTTCGTAAAATGTGCGGCGTTACCATGGCCGACCGAAAGCGAAACGAAGAGATTCGCAATATGGCAGGTTTGAAAGATGACCTTATCACAAAAATTGATAAGGGCGTGCTTCGACGGTTTGGGCACGTTGAGCGAATGAGTGAAGACCGAATGGTGAAGAAAATATAGCGCGAAAGTAAATATTAAAAGGTGTCGAGGTAGACCGAGACTAACTTTCGAAGACCATGTGAGCAAATTGCTGGAAGAGGGGAGGGTCAAGAGTACTCGGATACCTAGACGTGCATGTATGAAGAAGATAATGAATCTGAAAGAAGCGAAAGAGGTATGTTAGGATCGTGACACTTGGCGATCTGGTCTCTCTGGCTACCTCGTCAGGGATTGTGCTTGAAGATAAGTAAGTAAGTATTATTTTATTAGGTACGTTTTTTAATTAGAATCTATACAAATAAATAAAATTGAAGTGTCTGTTCGTAATGTCAAAATTACAGCTTTTTACTAAATGCATATGAAAGTATATACGGTATTAATAACAAAAATACAATTTTTAAAGTTTTTGTCAGTCTGTCTGTCTGTACGTCTGTCAGTCTGTTTGTTTCGGTTAATCTCCAAAACGGCTGGACCGATTTTGACGGGATTTTCACTGGCAAATAGCTGATGTCACAAGGATTATCTTAGGCTACTTTTATTTTAGAAAAAAAAAATGAGGGTTCTGCGCAAAAAAATAACACGCAGGCGAAGTCGCGGGGACAACTACTTAATATAAAAATAATAATTAAATACTTAAGATTGGATACATGCATATTAAATTATTAATTTTTACGTAATGCTACATAATGTTATGTCCAGCCGTCAATTAACTGCTGGGCACATGCATTCAACATGGTTGATAATAACCCCTGGGAATGAGGTGATCGCTTCCAAGCAGTTTCTAAAATAAATTTTGTAAATAGTTCGTAATCATTTATATTGTAAAATTTATTTAAAAAAAAGTCCCGCTGGGTTTCTTGCTGGTTCTTCCCAGGACAGAGGGTTTTTTCGAACCAGTGGTAAAGTAAAAAACGACTTTCAATAAGAATTACACATGTAATGTATATTGAATAAAAATTATTCTATTCTATTCTAACAGTGTTGTAAATGGGACAGTTCTCTCTGTCACCTATCATTTTAAGAATGCCGTTGGGGTTGGCTGCACCTGCGAACCAGCGATGCAGCTCTTTTACGCATAGTTGCGTAAAAACAATTAAAAGGCTTATTACATTACACGATTTCTCGGGCGCTGCCCGCAGGGTAATAAGAAACAGGGAGTCAGGGTCCCTAAACATGGCGACCGAGTGGTTCCGACCGCCCTGCTTCCCTGCCGCGCTGTGGATCGTGTAGTGTACAATCTACACGTTTGTTTATTTAAAGTTCTACTATGTCGATCTACTCTCTAAATCATTACTCGTATTTATGTCATGCGCTAAAGAAAAAGATCCTTCTCAATGTCATCGACATCTACAAAGATATGCCTTATCAAATCTTGATAGGAGTTTCCAGTGGCCAAAGTCGTAAAGTGACAACCAATCTCTCTTAAAAAAGTATTCTTTTGAATAAAACTTCTTTTACGGATTCTATCGCGTTTAATTTTTTTTTTATTAATTCCCGACGTTTCGGGTGCTTTACCACCCATGGTCACGGGGGACTGGTTGCTGTAAAGCATCCGAAACGTCGGGAATTAATAAAAAAAATTAAACGCGATAGAATCCGTACAAGTAGTTTTATTCAATGTGTGGTGTTCGCGTAAATATAAGAAATCATTAAAGTATTTTTTTCTATTAAAGGCGTTACTAAGCTTAATAACTCGTCGAATTGGTTTTCACCTACTCTTTAAAACAGTTTCGTAGGTCTGTTGGTTGCAAAACGCTGACTATTTGCATATTCGATAGTTTTTCTCTGAGGAGCAAATATTTTTTCATCCACATTTAACTTTCCTTCCTTTTTTTGCTTGGCCTTGCACGTTACCGCCAGCCAAAGTTTTTTTTTATAGAATAAGGGTGACAAGCGAGCACACAGTCCACCTGATAGTAAGTGGTTGCTGTGGCCCATAGACATCTACATCTATCTCCGTTTGCGAATTAAAATGCAGATGCGTTGTCAATCGTGAGGACTAAGATAGAATGCCTCTTTTGCAGTGAAAAGGTTCTGCGGTTCTCTACACTCACCATACGAAACAGCAGCGTTAAGTTATTTTACGCTGGTGTTCTGTGAGAGCGTGGTCCTTCCCCGGTCGAGCCAACACATTCGTGCTACAACTATACTACTAATAGCTATATAGCTGCAGCATGGCTCTACTACGTAAAGGTTTTAGAGTTCCAGGTATTAATAAAAAAATGTTCATTAAGATCGTTAATTTTTTAATATAAATATCAATGGGTAGTTGTCACAATTATTAATAAATTAACATAGCATATGATTTGAATTTCATACTTTATGCGTTTTTTTTTAACTATTTTCCAGTTCTTGATTACCATCATACCTGATGGTAAGCAGTGATGTAGCCGAAGATAGTAAAACGCAATGATTCAAGAAAAGCCTATTCCTTCTTGCCTTAAAGACATCAGATGTCTCAAACCTTTCTTGTGTTTTACTTTTAAAATATATTCTTTTAATTTAACGTAAAAATCTTTGATTAATTAACAGGAATATTCATTACAAGAAACTAAAATATCATGATGGCCGTGAAGTTGCGGTGTAAGAATATCCACTACACCATATCGTCCCGTAGGTGTCGAGGAAAGAGTGACAAAGGAAATCTATGTTGCAGATGTGAAAGCCCGCGTCGGGAAGGGACACCCTAGACGAAGGTTTATCGACCAAATTGGCGACATTATGAAAATGGGCCAAATTAAGAGTGCCCTTGACCAACGAGCATGTATGCGTAAAGATATGAATGTAAAATAGGCGAGAGAGGTTCGTCAGTATCGTGCCAAATGGAAGTCCGTAGTCTCTGCTTACCCCTCTGGTTACTTATAAAGAACTATGAACTACTAACTCCAGAATTAATTGCTTCAGGTTTTTGTTTCTCTTCTTTATTTCTCTTCTGTTTCTTTTTCTTCTTCTTAAGAGGATTTGTTTGTTTGTTCATGTCGTTATATTTAAGTAACTTCTTATACATTTTAAGAAGTTGCTTTGCATCTTTTTTCATTTCTTTCGTGATTTTCCCTTCTGTAACTTCTTTCGTTTCATCTTGAATTTCTTTTTCCTCACCTACTGGATCGACATACTTCGTTGAACCTTCCAAAGTGTTATAATGCTCTATAGAACCTTCTTCTAAATTTACTTCTATATTCTTTTCCACAATTTCAGGCGCTGTGGTCACTTTCTCATTTTTAGACTCCTCTAACTTTCTTTTAAGTTCTTTGTTCTTTTTCCTCATAGCGTTAAGAATATTCGATGTAGACAAGACTTTTCTAACTTTTTTACTCACTAAATACCGATCCTTCCATGAAATATTTTCTGCTTCGCTCTCAGCCTCCTTCTCGGCTTGAAAACGTTCGTGTTCTCTTATTTCTTCTTCAGTAACAACTTCTACTCTTTCTATTTCGTCTATTTTAGCCGATAGAGCTTCGATTTCTTCAGCCGTAGGTTCTTTAGATAATACTGTCCCTTCTACGTCGTTGCAGGAAGATTCATCAGAGAGCTCTAGAACCTCGTAAACATCGTCATCAATATACGATTCAGCGTCTATTTCGACACTGGTATGCGCAGTGTTACTTGGTACATCTGAAGTAGCCACTTTTGTTTTAGATTCTTTGTAAAAATTTTCATCCTCGCCATTACGAAAATCCTGGGACTTTTTTGATTTCTTTTCTTTCTTAGTTTTCTTCTCCTTTTTGTTCTTCTTTTTCTTGTGGCCTCGTTTACTATCTGTTTCTTCATCGGAAATACAAACGATCTCAGGTTTTAGGTCGGAAGCTTCAACTTCTGAACTTTCATGATCCGAAATTTCCCCTTCCGATAGCTGTTTTGTACTTTCTTTTAAATTGCTATCCACTTTCTCCTCAATGCAGTCTTTTACTTTCTTAGTACTTACCTTAGAATTAGCATCTACCTCAGTTATTTTTGGATTTACACCATCTACTCCAGATTCGCTTACATTAATACAATCGTTTTGTTTCTCACTTCTCTCTGTTATTGAAGAATTTTCTTGAGTAACACCCTGTAAGCTTTCGTCATCATTACGTAACGGGATATCTTCTAACGTATTTACTTCAATCATCATGTTATTTGTTTGAGACTCAGGTGAAGTTTCAACTTTACTATCAAGTTTGTTTACTTGTGCATCAGTTGTTTCAGTCATAGGTAAACTTAAAATATGACTATCAAGTTTATTTACTTGTTGTGCATTAGTTGTTTGAGTCTCACGTAAAGTTTCAACACTACTATCTAGTTTACTTTCTTGATGTTCATTTGTTTCACAGATTTCGGATATTTCGCCTAGTTTATTTTGAGTACTTTCATGGGAAGGTGGTGTTGTTTTTTCATATTTCTCATAATTTTTAACATTCTCTACTGATTTTGAGTTAGTAGCATCTTCCTTAGGCATAGTTTTTAAAACTTCTACATTTTTATCTTTAAATGCACACTTAACACTATCTACATCGTCTTCACTACTATCAGAGCTGCTTTCTGAATCCTCTGTAGAAGAACTCGATACATTGTCATAATTCTTTCTATCTAAATCTTCCAAAAGATCCATCTTCTCTGAATCGGACAGTTCTAATGTTATTTCGTCGTGATCGCTTCCTTCTTTGTTTTTACCCTTTCCTTTTTCCTTCTTCTTCTGTTTTTTCTTTGTTTTCTCCTTTATTGCACTTATCTTCTCGGACGATTGTGATTTATCAATAACAGTTTCAGATTCAACTTTGTCAGTCTTATTAGTAGATTTAGAAATGTCGCCGTTCTTGTTGTTTACTTTTTCATCAATCTTATTAGTCAATTGCGTTGCATTTGTTTTGTCAACTGCAGAAATTACACCGCTAGCGTTTAAAACTGAAGCAGAGGGTTTGTTTCTGTTTAGTTTAATTTTACGTGTCGGTTTCGTTTGAGGGACAGTGATGATAAGATCGTTTATCCTTTTCGTAACTGTTTGTGTTTCTCTGGTTGAAGCTTCAACCGAATTTTGTAACATTTCTGAAAAGAAGTACTTATGTATTAAAATATCATAGAGTGAGGGCTACATATTGCAGTTATTAAATACCAACTTAAACTAAAGAATGTAGTATATGTTTCTTTTAAAGAAAAAATATATTATACCATGGTACAATAAAACTTGGTCGGTTTTTAATTAAACACGAACAGAGGCCGCGGGTGAAAGCTAGTGAATGATAAAAATGACAACATATTGAAAATATAACACTCTCTTTACCTTTCTGCAAGGCTTCGATGTTCGGCTTCTCATCCTCGCTACTGATCTCAACTACTTCGGGTGGCTCTTCTTTAATCTCCACTTCATCATCAGAAGTGTGATGTGCTGCTGACGCTGAAGCAGACTCCGTTACATCTGCTAAACACAAAAGCATCATAAAGTTTCAGCCTATTTACGTCCCACTGCTGGGAACAGGCCTCTCCTCATTTCTGAGAGGGTTTTAGGGCAAGTAAATGTCCGCCGCACTGCCCCAATGCGTGTTGGCGAACTTCACATGTCTTCGAAATATTTTTTTTCTTATTTCTCGGACATGAAGGTTTCCTCACGATGTTTTCCTTCACCGCCGAGCACGTGGTAAATCAGCACTTAAAATTGCAATTAAAATTTCATTGGTGCCGGCGGGGATCGAACCCGGGTTGCTCGAGTACTGTGAAGCTTACAGTGAGCGCTAACCATCTGAGCTATATATATGATACTATATAATTAAACGGTAATGAAAAGTGACAGGATTGATAATTACCCACGAGAATGAGATGATCGCTACCATACTGTTTCTATATGTTATATATTTAACTTTATAAAATGGTATTTTGAAAATTATGTTTTAACAAAAAGTCCCGCTGGGTATTTTGCTGGTTCTTCCCAGTATTCTTGTAATGCATATAGAATGAAAAGGGTTCTTTTTTTTTCATAGCATAGAGTGACAAAGGAGCACATAGTCCCCCTGAGTCCGAATGATGGATGAAATAGCAGCTTAACGCTGCGTGATTCGTATGGTGCGTGTAGAGAACCGGAGACCCTTTTTACTGGAAAAAGGGGCATTCCATTTTAGTCCTCGAGGATAACAACGCATCTGCATTTTGGTTATTTATTGAGGATAGATGTAAATGTCTATGGGTCACAGTAGCCACTTACCGTCAGGTGGACTGTGTGCTCGTTTGTCACACTATCCTATAAAAAAAACTACTGTTGCATATATGTTTATATACCAGAAAAACATGGGACCTGTTAGCTCCAGATTAACATAGGATATCCAGAGAAGGATAAAGAATGAGCAGAAGAGCATACACAATGCAGACGAAATCTTACCAGCAGCTTGCTCCTGCTGTAGTTGAGCTCGTATGGCCCTCGCGCGAGCTTGCAACTCAAGCAGTTCCAGAACAGTCAGACCGCTTCTAGAGGCTTTGGATCTGTCCGCATTGTTCTCTGACGCATCGGACGATGACTTCCGTCGGTGTTTGGACTTGGATTTCGAACGGCGATGGCGGTGTTTGTGCTGGTTAATATAAATAAAATAGCTTTATTACCACGTTTTTATCGACTTTCATTCGTCCTATATCTGTTCGGGTCGAATTTAGTAATATACAAATATTAAAAAACTATAATATTAAAAAAAAAACTAAAATAACTTATTGTAATTATCATAGAGTCCTACTCCCCGTGGTATCGTGCTAAGAACGCTGGCTGCGTTTCCTCGCTGAATGACTATACTTAGCCTTTGAGCGAGAAAATAACCAGCCCTCTTATCACCAGAAGCAGTGACCAGTCGCCGATAGAGTTCCTTTAGGAACTTCACCTAACTGACCGATAGTTTCCACAGCAAATGGCACAAACATGTAGTCATCTCTCAGAGACTCATATTTGCGCTACTTACTCAGTTCAGCTGCCTCTGATGCCGCCCCGGCTCTATACGAGGTACCCCTGAGATGAGAGGCCGCCAAAGTGTCTACGCAAGTAGCATCCCACTCTAGGGCTTTACCTCTCTCCCAAGGGACCAATGTCGTATCGTCAGGTCTCTTGCCATCGTCTCTAAATATTCCACAAGGTTCTAAAACCGAGGAAACATTTATAGAGACGAGCTCTTCAGATGACATCGTTCAAAGAACCATTTAGTAATTGATTTTAAACTAACTTTCAGATGCGCTTAAGACTTGAAATTTTGAACATAGCTCAGTATTGGATAACAATGTAAGAATATGAAAAGAAAGTGGTATAACAAAAAATCTTAATTTTTGTTTCCTTGTTTTAAGTAAGTTGACAAACGAGCACATGGTCCACGCGATGGTGAATGGATATAGTGGTCCATAGACACTATATCTATCTATCATCAAAAAGCATCTAAATGCAGAATGCATTCTCACTGCTGATGGCTATGATGAAATGCCTTGTTTCCAGTAAAAAGGGTCTCCAGTTCTCTACACTCACCATATGAAACACAGTATTAAGCTGCTATTTCACATTAATATTCTGTGAGAATGTGGTTCTTCCCCGGTAGAGCTGATCCATTTGTTCTGAAGCTATAATACAACATGCATCTAACACATTATTTATACAAATAAATAAAATTGAAGTGTCTGTTTGTAATGTCAAAATAACAGCTTTTTACTAAATGCATATGAAAGTATATACGTACTCATAACAAAAACACAACTTTTAACATTTTTGTCTGTCTGTCTGTTTGTTCCGGCTAAACTTCGAAACGGCTGGACCGATTTCGATGGGACTTTCACTGGCAGATAGCTGATGTTATAAGGAGTAGCTTGGGCTACTTATATTTTAGAAAAATAATTAGGGTTCCGCGCAACATATTTGAAACCCTAAATTACACGCGGGCGAAGTCGCGGGTAACAGCTAGTATTATTATATAAGATATATTACAGACAGATACTTCAATTATATTTATATGTATAAACATAAATATTATAATATATGAATTTTAACGTGGTAGAGCCATGTTGCAGCTACATTGTGGTTGCAGCACGAATGGGTCGGCTCGATGCATGTAAGCATGTGTGTTTCGCATGTTGAGTGTAGAGAACCAGAGAGCATATTTACTGGAAACGAGGCATTCTGTCTTAGTCCTCACGGGTGACAACGCATCTGCATTTTGATTCTTAATTGATGATAGATGTAGATGTCTATGGGCCACAGTATCCACTTACCATCAGGTGGACTGTGTGCTCGTTTGTCACCCTTATACTATGAAAAAAAATTAGTTTCTCATCTTTGTAAGATTTTTAATTGCTTAACCAAAGTCGAATTCTCACCACTTCATGGGTTGACTGATTGAAAATGCTTGTAGGTATTTAGTTCATCCTTTGTATCCCTTCTTAATAGGAATTGCAATAAATATTAAAAATAAATAAATAAATAAAACTAAAATATTTTTCATTCAATGGGTAGTATTGCATAATTATACAAAATCATTATCTTACATTATATTTACCTTCTTCTTTTTGCTACTACTTTCACTTAAAATCTCCTCGTCTGATGAAATGCTGTCCAGTGAGATGGTCTCCAACTTCTCTGGAGAAGGGGATCTGCTCGATGATTCTGTATCGGATGGTGGTTCAGCACCATCAAGTATTGCACACAGACGTTTAGAGCTTATCCCCAGAAGCTGAAAGTTTACAATCAGATGTAATTTATTTTCTTTTTTTGACTACTTCTAAGATAGGAGGTTGTTTCCAAACGGATTTGTATGTTCTTCACTTCATCAACCAGTAAGCAGTTTTCTTAGCAGTTAACTTTGCACTTTGTATCACAAGTGCTCTAACTGGGCATGAATTGTTTAAAATACATGTGTTTACTATATGTGTATATATAGACCACAAATCCTCGCAAACGAACACCGATTCCTACCAAGGATGATACACGAGGCTATTGAAATTAAAAAAAAATCCCAATTTCAATAGAGAAGATGGATGGGTGCTGCCATCTGCTTGGGATCCTATAATTAACAAAATTAAATCCAAAGCCAAGCATACCACTGCAAGACTTCAAGATACTGTAAGTTCATTCTGCGTAAATCGAACCAAAAATTAATATTAAAAAACTGAAGGTTGCTGGGCTAACTGTGACATCGGGACGTCAAACATCTCAGTCCCCCCCGTGACCATGTGTTGCTGAAAAGCACCCGAAACGTCGGGAATTAAAATATTAATTTTTATACGTGGTAGAGCCATGCTGCAGTGATATTATGGTTGTAACACGAATGGGTTGGCTCGACCGGGGAAGGACCACGCTCTCACAGAACACCAGCGTAAAATAGCAGCTTAATGCTGTTGTGTTTCGTAGTGTGAGTGTAGAGAACTGGAGACCCTTTTTTACTGGAAACGAGGCATTCCATCTTAGTCCTCACAGGTGACAATGCATCTGCATTTTGATTTGTTATCGAAGATATATGTAGATGTCTATGGGCCACAGCAACTACTTACCAACAGGTGGACTGTGTGCTCGTTTGTCACCCTTATCCTATAAAAAAAACCACAATAAAATGTGTAAATAAATACTTTTATTCAATATGCCATATTCCCCTTCAAAGACAATCTATAAGCAGGCCTACGTTCTGCAGTACGCTTTAGATAAGCTGTAATGATGAGTAAAATATTGATAAACTTGATTATCATCAATTCCTTCACATTTTGTTACTCTAAAATCAGGTACGGTCCTAAATGATTGATAGTAAAATTGTGTCTCAATATTTTATAATAGAAAAGGATAGTTCCACTTTCTCAGAACTTGGCAGTATTTACATTTGGATACAAAGACTTCACGGTATATTACTAGATAGGTTCTGCAGCCTTAATAAATTGCACACTAAGTGCCGGTACATTCTCTGTAACTTCTTAGTGGATTGCAAGCATGTGTGAACACTGTCTGTGAATTGTGTGTGAACTGTGACACTGTGAATGCTGTCATTATTTATGTGCAAACTTAGTCAACATAATTTGAAGTTTATTTAAGATTTGGGTGCTATACTAACACTTAATAAAGTTACTATATATGTCCCACTGCTGGTCACAGGCCTTCTCTCATTTTTGAGAGAGTTATAAGGGCAAGGAAGTGTCTTCACAGGTCTTCAAAATATTATTTTTCTTTTAAATACAGGCTTCCTCACATTGTTTCTTTAAATAAATGTGTCTAGGAGAAAAGTCAGTAAAACAAAATTATTATTACAGGGTCCAAAACTTTCCATGGATTCAATCTCCAATAATAAAACTACAGAGGTCATCAATAAGTTTTCATAATTAATTCCTGCTCCCAAAACCTATTAGATATAAAAGGAATATGCTCCCCAGCAACAGATTAATACTTAATAACCTGCCAAGTGCACGTTTAACTTGCGCATGAAAGGTTCTATATATCTGTATAACATGTTTCTAGTAGGGGAGCACCCTTTAAATTTTTAATTTATTTTTATTATTTGTTGTTATAGCGGCAACAGAAATACACATTCTGTAAAAATGTCATATGTTGACCTATTACGGATCATCGCTGACAGATAGACGGGCGGATGGTCAGCAGAGGCTTAGTAATAGGGTCCCAATGGTTACCCTTCAGGTATGGAACCCTAAAAAGAAGGCTGCAGCTGATTGACACCCTTGAGAAACAGATGAAATACCTAACAGCCTGTAAATATTCTGACTCCTCATAGATATTCAGTAAGTACCACTCACCAAGTGGTATACCCACCCAAACAGATTCCTGTGCAAAAATCTTATATTACATACCTCCTCCATACACAACTCTTGTAAATCATTAATGGAAATATATTGCACACACCGTGGAGCCATCGCTTTTAGCTCCTTAGCTTTTAGTACAGAGAAAACTTGATGCATTAATTCCACTCGGTCATGAATGTAGTAAGTTAAGTCAAATTCTTCTTTATCACGAATAGAGGTAGAGGTTTCAGGCTGCTCTTCTTTCACTTTATGTCTTTTTATGCGTTTCATATTGGATAATGAATATTCTTAAATAAATACTTAGCGGAAAAAAAATATTTCAACAAAATAACTTTTACTAAATGGACTATACAATAAAAATTGTTTGGTGTTTCGTACAAAAATGTAAGTATTATTAGCATTTCTTTTTAATTTAGTAGGATAATACTCAGATAATCCTGTCACTTTTGACGTTTGGAAAACTGTTCAGAACTGAGGTTCAGAATGTAAAAATCTTTTTGAAGTTTTGAAATAGCCTATTTAACCTGTTTGGAATTCTTTTCCTCTTATACTTCATTGACAAATTTGACATTAAAGTATGAACAAGAAAATTAATTCATATACTTAAAATTGTAATGTAAATAACAAAATTAAAAAAAACGGACGAAATGCAACTGGAGGAGTTTTTGAGCGGATGCCTGGATCGAGTTATTCAAGAAACGTTCAAATCGCTCTTGTCGCATTTTTGTCCAACAATACTAACATTTTTGCCATCTTCACAAAATTTTAGTGAAACATTAAATCCAAAGTTTAATGTTAAGAGTACATACTTTTTATTTATTTAAAGTGACGCTAAATGTATCATTCAAATTTTCGCGCGCTTGAAGTAAATAATGGCGGTAGTAAAATTGTATGAAAGTGACCAATTTCTTGTAGTGAATAAACCTTACGATATGTTTATTAATTCAGATGATGAAAGGGAAAAGGTAAATGTTAAATTTGTTTTATATTTCTATTTTATTAACAAATTTTTAAGGTTATTTTATTTATTTTTATTACCATCATAAACTCACAGACAAATAATTTAAAATTAAAAATTTTGTACAGCCGACTTCAATATAAGTTATTTAAGAATAACTTAAAAACTATTGGTCTGACCTTGATCAAATTCATATGGGACCACACGAGAAGTACCAGCTTTCAAATAAAAAAAGAATCATCGAAATCGGTTCACCCAGAAAAAAGTTCTGAGGTAACACACATAAAAAAAAAAAAAAAAAAAACGAAAAAAAAAAAAAACATACAGTCGAATTGAGTACCGGCTCCTTTTTGGAAGTCGGCAGAAAAAGTACCATGTGCACAGACATCAAAATTTACCACCACAAAAAAAAAATTAAGTGCAGAAGCAATTAATATAATCGATTTTATGATTTAATCGATTTATAATAAACGAGCACACAGTCCATCTGATAGTAAGTGGTTGCTGTGACCCATAAACATCTAGATATCTATCCTCGATTACAAATCAAAATGCAGATGCCTTGTCACCCGTGAGCACAGAGTACCTTTATATATTGCCCGTGAGTGACGTGACTAAAATGAAATGCTTCTTTTCCATTAAAATGGGTCTCCGGTACTCTACTTTCACCATATGAAACACAGCAGCGTTAAGCTCATGCTACTACCATAAACCATATTATAGCTACAGTATTGCTCTACCACGTAAAAGAGCTGAATTGGCTGTGGGCCGGGTTTATAGCTCGATGAACTTATAGCTAGACTTCCTGGCCGAAGCTGAATATTAGGCATAAGTATTTGGCCAGGAAGGAAGTAGTGTTTATTCTTGAGTGCGTTTACTCTCTGAAGCTGGGTTTGTCTACTAGAAGAAAAGGCATAAACTACTGCCTGAAAATGAATAGCACTAACTTAACAAAAGCCTATTCACTCTTGCCTTGAAGATGCCCGGTGTCTCAAGCCGTTCTTGTTTTTTACTTTTAAACTAGCTTTACTCATAATTTAACGTAAAAACATTGATCATTAACAGAAAACTTTAATTACAAGAAACTAAAATATCATGATTACCGTTTAGTCTAGGACGTACTACTAGAACTTGTAGGCTGCGGAGGATAGATGCTCTAGGGATTAACTACGAGGGTGGATTGAAAAGTACTCGGCCTAACACAGATCCATTCAATTCTAAAAATCAAATCTTCCCACATTATTTAGTTCAGTTCAGACTAGTTCATTGTGTGAAGTTCGAAACGTGTGCGATAATTAGTTGTGATTTTATAAATTTATTAAGAAAGTAATCGGACATAATTTCCGCGAATGGAGCAAATCGAGCAGCGTGCCGTCATTAAGTACCTCCATAAGAAGGGGTTATTATCAAAAGCCATCCATGATGACATGGTCAGTACATTAGGCGATTGTGCTCTGTCATATTCATCCGTCAAAAAATGGATAGCAGAATTTAAGCGTGGTAGAGAGAGTGTGAAAGATGAACCCCGCTCTGGAAGGCCTTCGACGTCAACTACTGACGAAAATATTAAAAAAGTACTTGATTTAATAATGGGAGACCGCAGATTAAAAATTAGAGAGATAGCCGAGATTATAGGCATCTCTTATGAACGAACTCGAAACATCATTGTCAACGAGTTGGGTTTCCACAAGGTGTCTGCGAGGTGGGTTCCGCGACTGCTTTCAGTTGAACAAAAAAGGACGCGATTGACTATTTCACGCGACTGTTTGGAGTTATTTGAAGCCGATGCAGATGATTTTTTGAATCGTTTTGTTACTATGGACGAAACATGGGTTCATTACTGTACACCGGAAACAAAACAACAATCAAAACAGTGGAGAAGACCTGGTTCACCACCCCCTAAAAAGGCTAAGTCGATTTTGTCGGCAAATAAGGTGATGGCTTCAGTATTCTGGGACTCGAAAGGTGTGATTATGATTGATTATCTTGAAAGGGGTCAGAATATAAACTCTGATTACTACTGCACCTTACTACGTCGTTTACGAGAGGAAATAAAAGAAAAACGTCGAGGAATGCTCAGAAGAAAAGTCCTGTTTCATCAAGATAACGCCCGTGTTCACACGTCAGTACAGTCAATGGCTGAAATTCACAACTGTGGCTTTGAACTGTTACCGTATCCGCCGTATTCACCTGATCTGGCACCATCAGACTTCTTTCTGTTCCCTAACCTAAAAAAGCACTTGGGAGGTCAAAGATTTTCGACAAACGACGAGGTCAAAGCAGCTGTAGACGCATATTTTGACTCTAAGGAAGAATCATTTTTTTTCAACGGTCTAAATGCTTGGAAGGGGAGGTGGCAAAAGTGTATTGAACTTGATGGTGATTATGTAGAAAAATAAAAATATAACTGATTTAGTATTTGTTTATTTTCTTTGTTAGGCCGAGTACTTTTCAATCCACCCTCGTATATACTTGGAATACTGTAGTTAATAAAAATAAATCAAACATAACACTTCAAGGTCTCAAAGTATATTTACCTTATTCTCAAAATTAATTATGAAAAGCTGCAGGTTCCAGAGTTAACTATGACATAAGGACTTCAAACGCTTCAATCTCCTCGTAACTAACAAGAAGTAATCATGTGTTGTACAGTATTAACGTCTGGTATATTTTAAGTTTAGATACTCGCTGAGCACAGACGAGTAGGCCCGAGTATTCGCCTGTTCTTCACTCGATGTCGGTTTTTTGGCATGAGTAAAAGGAATACTCGTGTGATTTCGTATCGGTGTTTACATAATCGTCATCATTCGCTTGACCCGTGAACTTTTAAACTTTATTTTTCTTATAAAATAATTTTAAAAAATAATAAGAAATATACCTAACTACTGCGATGGATTGGAATAACGAATCCACTAATTTTATAAAACTTTATCATGGAGAACCCGTGATATGAGGTCCTAGAAATCAGTTTTAAATAAATATTAATGAAAATAAATATTTCATTATCATCATCATCATCATCACAAGTCCACTGCTGAACATAGGCCTCCCACAAGGAATGCCACAAATCACTGTCCTGAGCCATCTGCATCCATCAACTTCCTGTATATCTTACTAGGTCGTAGTTCTATCTAGTGTGGGGAGGGAAGGCAAGTGCTCCACACCCCCAAATAAATATTTATGAGTCTGTAAATATCATGTAGATATAAATTCGTGGCAATGAGACGCACGTCATCCATTTTTAAATGATCTACGTTGAACGAATATGTAAGCGCGTCGTACTCGTCGACGAATAACTTGGTGAGTTACTCGGCGAGTTGCTCCATAATGAACACTCACGCCTGTCACTCAGAGGGGTAGGCAGAAAAAAATAATTAAAATCTATTTATTTCTTTCTCAAGGCATACTAAATAATAAAGTAATTGGACCTTCCTAGTAAGTATAAAAGAAAACCTGTGTCAGGATTTACCGCTCTTCCTAATAATATTAAATATTGAGATAAGCCAGGTATGATTACCTATGATTTAATGTGGGCGTGTGTTTGTTTTGTGTGTGTGTGTGTGTGTGTGTGTGTGTGTGTGTGTGTGTGTGTGTGTGTGTGTGTGTGTGTGTGTGTGTGTGTGTGGTGTGCGTGCGTGCGTGTGCGTGTGTGTATGTGCAATTGTAGGTGCTTAAAAGCGTTAGCATATCTATTATTATTATTATTTTTATGTCATCATCATCATCATGATCATCATCATCATCATCATTACAGCCCTTCACAAGTCCACTGCTGAACATAGGCCTCCCCCAAAGAATGCCACAAAACACGGTCCTGAGCCACCTGCATCCATCGACTTCCTGCATGTCTTACCAGGTCGTCACTCCATCTCGTGGGGGGACGCCCTACACTTCGCCTACCGGTACGAGGCTGCCACTCGAGAACCTTTCTTCCCCATCGGTTGTCGGTTCTTCGAGCTATATGGCCGGCCCACTGCCACTTCAGCTTACTAATCCGTTGGGCTATGTCGGTCACTCTGGTTCTACTGCGGATATCCTCATTCCTAAGTTTATCACGCAGAGAAGCTCCGAGCATAGCCCTCTCCATAGCTCGCTGAGCGACCTTGAGCTTCCTCATACGGCCAGCAGTGAAGGACCACGTCTCAGTTCCGTAAGTCATCACTGGCAACACGCACTGGTTGTACAATTTCGTTTTAAGGTTTTGAGGTATGTCTGACGAGAAGATGTGTCGTAGCTTCCCGAACGCTGCCCAGCCGAGTTGAATCCGTCGATTGACCTCTCGGTCGAAGTTGGACTTACCCAGTCGGACTATTTGCCCCAGGTAAACATACTCGTCAACAACTTCGAGCTTAGTGCTCCCAACAACTACCGGCATAGGTGTGACATGGACATTAAACATGATCTTTGTTTTGTCCATGTTCATCTTAAGACCTATCCGTTGGGAAACACTATTGAGGTCATTGAGCATAGTGCTTAGGTCCTCCAGCGATTCTGCCATAAGGACTATATCGTCGGCAAATCGAAGGTGAGTGATGTACTCGCCATTGATGTTGATACCGTATCCTTTCCAGTCCAGAAGCTTGAAAACGTCTTCCAATGCAGCGGTGAAGAGTTTCAGGGATATGACGTCACCCTGTCTTACACCTCTCTGCAATTGGATAGGTTTCGTACTCTGGTTCTGTACTCGGATAGCCATCGTAGCCCTACTGTACAAGCACTTCAACACTTCGATATACCGACAGTCAACTTGGCACCGCTGAAGGGACTGCAGCACCGCCCAAATTTCGACGGAATCAAAGGCTTTCTCATAGTCCACATACGCCAGACATAGTGGCAAATTGTACTCTTCGGACTTCTGTACAACTTGCCGAAGGGTATGTATGTGGTCTATGGTGCTAAAGCCCTTTCGGAAACCGGCTTGTTCGGGAGGCTGGAAGTCGTCAAGTCTGCGCGCGAGACGATTCGTAATGACTCTCGAAAACAGCACGTAGACGCGGCTCAGAAGGGAAATCGGTCTGTAGTTCTTCAAGAGAGCGTTGTCACCTTTCTTGAAGAACAAGACCACCGCACTTCTGCTCCACGCCTCCGGTGTAATGCCACCATGGAGGACGGAATTAAAGAGCTTCTGAAGGACTTCAAGTACCGGTCTTCCACCCGCTTTCAGAAGCTCCGCTGTAATTCCATCCTCGCCTGGGGCCTTACCGTTTTTAAGGTGCTGGAGAGCCATCCTAATCTCGCTCAGACTGACATCCAGGATATCTTCACTGTGTTACTCACACTTGCGTGTGGCTCCAACGATGATGTGTACAGCTGCCCATAGAACCTCTCAATCTCACTCAAAATTTCAGGTGTCCCGGAAACGATGCTGCCACATTCTGTCTTCAGCTTTGACAGTTGGCTCTTTCTGGCAGACAGATCTCTGGCAAAGACTTTGGAGCCTTGGTTCCGCTCGATCGCTTCTTCAATACGAGCTGTATTGAAGTTGCGTAAGTCCCGCCGCATGCATTTGGAGATCTGTCTGTTCAGATGCCTGTATGCTGTCAAGTCTGTTGAAGAATGTAGCTTCATCTCCCGTCTAACATCCATGAGATTAAGAGTGTGATCGGAGAGTTTTTGTGTTCTTCTGCGGCGGGTCTTGCAAAACTTAGCTCCGACCGCATGGACAGTTTCCACGAGCTTGTCATTCATTATTTTTATGTAATTATATTTTATTATTTTCTATTCTAATAAACAAATATATTATTTAATTCTGTGACGTAGAATGTTTTTTGTGCTGTGATAAGTTAATTTTTTAAGATGATCGGTATGTATTTTTTTACATTCGCGATAATTAACCCGGTGAAAGTTTAATGTTTTATTTAAATAATTGTACATATATCTTTGTTGGGCACTGTACTGTCTCTCAGCAAATCAAATCCTGACACACCTCTCCCTCCTCCTTTACATCCATACATTTACGCATACATATTCATCGGTTACGGGTACTCTTATCTGGTCCATCCTTAATATATCGCCAATTAAGTCGATAACCTTTCGTTTAGGGAGTTGGAAAAAATAAAAATAACATAATTTAATGCCATGTGTAACATTTGCAAAAAGAAATAAATAAAACAAAAAAGAAGATATCATTAAGCTCCTAACACTGGTACAGTGTGGAAATAGTGAAGAAAACCATTTACATCAGATATATGTAATTATAATACATTGCCATTGCGGCAAATTTTTTTACGTGGTAGAGCCATGCTGCAGCTATATTAGTAGTATAGTTGTAGCACGTATGGGTCGGCTCGACCGGGGAAGGACCACGCTCTCACAGAATACCAACGTAAAATAGCAGCTTTACGCTGCTGTGATTCGTATGGTGAGTGTAGAGAACCGGAGACCCTTTTTACTGGAAACGAGGCATTCCATCTTAGTGCTCACGGGTGACAACCCATTTTGATTCGCAATCGAGGATAAATGTAGATGTCTATGAGCTGCAGCAACCACTTAGCATCAGGTGGACTGTGTGCTCGTTTGTCACCCTTATCCTATAAAAAAATGAACTCAGATTAGATTTGTAAATCTTATTACTTTCGAAATATAAGTAACTTGTTGCATTTAATGGTAAATCTAACATCGCGTAATTTTGTTATAGAACACAGTGACATGTCACATAGCCTCGCACGATTCCCATCGCGCGAATTCGGCCAACCCCCTACACTTTGTGCAACGTCTCGACTACTCCACCAGTGGCATCCTCTGCATAGCTTTGACCAAAACCGCAGCGGCTAGTGCCGGTAAACTGTTCGAGAAGAGAATGACAAAGAAATATTACCTTGCAATAGTAAGAGGTCACATAGATGTGGAGATGTGTGATATACAGTATCCGATTGGTAAGTGTTATAAATATAAACGATTCCTTATAGCTTAGGTCTGCGAGGTTTTCGCGCGGTAAACTTTTGGCGGGAACCATATCCGACACTGGGTGTATTAGCTGGTAACGAGAGCGTATATATTATCACATATTATACTTCATTGCAACCTATAAAAAAGTTCACTGCTGAACATTGGAATCTCTCATAAATTAGTGTTCCTTAAACATTGATAGACTATCGATTAGTCGATAGTGTTTGCACTATCGATTCTATCGATAGTCTGGTTAAACTATCGATTGCCATACTTATCGTAATTTTTATCTATAGTAGATGTCTCCCTTTGGTCTAAGATCAGAGAAATCCCCGTAAATAAACTGCATGTGAATAGCTTATTAATATGTGCGACGCTGACGTAAGTCGCTATTTGAGTGCCAGAACGGGCGGTTGATCTTGCGTTTTATAGTTTACTGATTTGTTTCGTATTTGAACTCCTTTTTAAAAGGCCGGCAACGCATCTGCAATTCCCCGGGTGTTGCGGTTGTTCATGGGCGGCGGTAGTCACTTACCATCAGGTGAGCCGCATGCTCGTTTGCCCCCTCTCCTATAAAAAAAAAAAATAATAAAACGAAAATTTATCCTAAAAATCAATCATTAATGTGGAGTTATTTCTAAATAGTGGACAGTAATAGTCCGTTTGTAAAGTGTAACTTTTATAATCAGAACATACAAGCATTCTAAGAGATCACTTGAAAAGAAAGCATGTCGATAAAATAGATAGGTTGGAGTTGGAAGAGGGATCATCGTCAGAATATCAAGTTACAGATGAGATGCAACCAAAAAAAAAATCTAGAAGTTCTTTTAAGAATTATTTCAATAAAAATCAGTTGTTGAAGACAAAGTTTATTGTGGCTTTCCTTCACAGGTCTACACTAGCCAGTGACAAATTGCGTATTTCTCAAAGACGACCAACAATAAAGTACAATAATTACTTATTGTTATTTTTATTTGTGATACCTGCTCAAAGACAATCAACAGTCTATCGATACATCGATGATCTTATAAGAAACTATCGATTACTATCAAATACTTCAACAATCGATGTTTAATGAACACTATCATAAATTGCCTTCACCACCGTGTAGTGGTGGTGTAATAATATCCACCACCCATATCGTCCCGTGGGTGTCGTGTAAAAGACGACAGAGGCAATGTGAAGCAGGGAATGGTAGCGGTATCTACCTGATAACAATTCGAAATGCGGTTGCCAACTCGCCTGCCAAACGTAGTAACTACGGCAAAATTCCATCTATGAGGCAATCACATATATATAAAGAGACATTTTTAATTAATTCGGCACCTGCGCCCCCTTTTCCCTAAAGAGGGTCGCTTACGATTCGGCAGAAAGGCCTCTACAGCCAACGCCAGTCTCACAGGTGGTGTTTAGTGGGTAGGCACTTAGGTTAGGTTAGTCGCAGTGAGTCCCACATAACCAGGATAGTCGGCTGTCGTGGTATGCTTAGAGCATTCACCACATCTCTTCCTTGCTTTCCGGAGGGTAGCCCTTTTCAATTGCCATCTCATCTAAAAATTAAATGTTGTTACGCTCCTCTCGTAGTTCGTCGTCTAAGTGAGAATATTTCATGATCGCTTGGTGAAAGTACCTTCGCACATTTGACTCAACGCATCTGCATTATTTTGAGTCAAAATAATGCAGATGCGTTGTCACCCGTGAGCACTAAGATGGAATGCCTCGTTTCCAGTAAAAAGGGGTCTCCGGTTCTCTACACTCACCATACGAAACACAGCAGCGTTAAGCTGATATTTTACGTTGGTATTCTGTGAGAGCGTGGTACTTCCCCGGTCGAGCCGACCCATTCGTGCTACAACTATACCTACTTCTAATATAGTTGCAACATGGCTCTACCACGTAAACTGTATTTGTTAATCAATAATAATATATTACTAAAGGAACTTCCTTCCAACCGAGTGTTCCACGATACTCACGCTTGTTTTTAAAACCAAAAGCCCTTAAATAAAATCAGATGGAAAAATTTTACTTGTTATTTACTCTTTAATGTTATAAAAATACCTTTACAGTCTATCAAAGACCACTGCTGAACATAGGCCTCCCCGATAGGGCTTATAAAAATTTATTGTACAATGTACAGGCGTCGACCAAACATCGTCAGAGACCAGTCATAAGATGATTGCCTTGACGGAAACCACGGAGGCTGTGTGTGGACTCCCCAGAGCAGCTCATACGCGTTTACTGGCACTCGAAACTGGGTACTACGAGGGTAATCCAGTTTCAGTCGTGCTTTTGAAGCCTGTCACGGGTAAGTTTTGGTGTCAGTTCGCTTTAAATCTACGCTTTGATAGTCTTTTCTATCGACTTCAAAAAGGAGACGGTACTCAATTCTACTGTATGTTCTTTTTTGTTATTTTTGTGTGTTACCTCATAACTTCGTTCTGGGTGAACCGATTTCGATGATTCTTTTTTTATTTGAAAGCTGATACGTCACATGTTGTCGCATATAAATTTGATCAAGGTCTGACCAATAGTTTTTGAGTTAAAGTCGGTTGTACAAAATTTTAAATTATTATGTTTTTTTTTTTTTTATAGGATGAGGGTGACAAACGAGCACACAGTCCACCCGATGGTAGGTGGTTGCTGCGGCCCATAGACATCTACATCTATCCTCTGTTACAAATCAAAATGTAGATGCGTTGCCACCCGTGAGGACCAAGGTGGAATGCCTCATTTCCAGTAAAAAGGGCCTCCGGCCACCTACACTCACCAAGCGAAACGCAGAGGTAAACCTCTACTTCACGCTGGTTTTCTGTGAGGTCGTGGTACTACCCCGGTTTGAGCCGGCCCATACGTGCGACAGTAAAAGCTGCCGCGTGGCTCTACCACTGTTAAAAATGTTTGTGAAATTGAGTATTTGACCTTAAGGCGACGATTTCCTCCCTTTTTCGCTGCGTGCTTAAGCGTGCGACATTCGGTGGACAATTAATTACCTTATTTGATACGTTTTTTTTTTATATAGAGGAGGAGGCAAATGAGCATACGGCATACGGCTTACCTGATGGTAATGGATCACCGTCGCCCATGAACAACTGTAACACCGGAGGAATTTTGCTTATTATCCGAAAATAAAGGATGTATACAAATGTAGCAGATGAAGAATCTAATTCAACAACATGCCTTGCCATATTATTGACAAAACGAAAAAAAAAAAAACGAGAACTCGATCGTTAAAGGCGTTTCTACTTTTTGCTATTTCAAGAAGTATCAATTCTCACGCGACCTTATCGTGTCTAAAATACGATATTTTGTCTACCCTGGCCTTAAACACCATATCCAACTAAATGATTTTGCCTTCAATAGTAGAGTGAATAGGTTTTAATATACTAGTGCGTTTTATTAAGACTGCATCACTACTTACCATTAGGTGGGATCGTAGTAAAGCACTAACTAATTATTCTTCATCACCGACCTCTTAAAATCCACTCTTGAATATAGACCCGTCCTTTGAAGGGAGGACTTTCCATATTTGCTACACTTGGTAAGAGCATTAACGATCGCCGTACTGTACTAGATAATTTCGCTCCTTTTTTATAGAATAAGGTTGACAAACGAGCGCGCAGTCCACCTGATGGTAAGTGAATGCTGTGGCCCATAGACATCTATTTATCTTCAATTTAGAATCAAAATGCAGATGCGTTTTTACCCCTGAGGACTTAAATGGAATGCCTCATTTCCAGTAAAAAGTGTCTCCGGTTCTCTACACTCACCATACGAAACACAGCGGCATCATGCTGCTATTTCACGCTGGTATTTTGTGAGAGCGTGGACCTTCCCCGATCGAACCGATTCATTAGTGCTGCAACCATAATATACCTGCAGCACGGCTCTACCACGTAGAGTACCCTTAATAAAAAATTTGTAAGTAAGGTCTTTCTAGTATTTTCGATGGTTGCCTCTTTGACACCCACGGGACTAGATGGACTAATAGATTCTCTTATAACATTAACACTATGTAGGTTAATTATTATTGGAAAAAGTTTGACGGTTATGGTCTTTTATTAATTTTGCAATATGAAGGGAGGCGCCATCAGCTAAGAGTTCACTGTACCACCATTGGGCACACAGTACTCGGTGATTACACATACAGTGAACGACAAGACACCGCTCCACACAGGATGTTCCTTCATGCCACCAGGTAAGGTCAAGTCTTCCACCAGCCTTGACTCTGATTGACTGTTTGAGAATTAAGAGTTACAATGTAACCACAGTCCACCCGATGGTATGTTGCCGCTGCAATTCATGCACCTATTGACAGTGATAAACAAAGAAGGCTACAGGTGTGTTATCATCTCTCAAAAAATGAGATGGAATTCCTCCTAACCTGGAATAATGATTTAATTTTATTTAATTTAGAAGTGCCGTAAATTTCATAATACTTGATCAACCTGATTTGCATCTTCCCCTGCACTAATGAAATTTTTAATTGCAATTTTAAGCGTTGAATTACCAGTTCTTCAGCGGTGATGGAAAACCTCGCAAGGAAACCTGCATGTCTGAGCACATGTGAAATCCGCCAACAAACTATAGCAAATTCTCAAAAATGACAGGAGGCCTGTGCTGTGCCCAGTGTTGGGACGTATGTAGGCTGTGACTTTACGCTTTATTTGACTGGGTCTAATCGTGTTGATTGTTTCCGAGGCCATTCGGTAACTACTTGGACGCATAATATAAAAGATGTTTTTATATTCTTCTTTTTTTATTTAAATAACGTTTCCCCCAAACTAAGATTTTCTCCTGTATCGAGGAGGCAGTGTACAAACATAAATTGCACTAGGCCATACAAATACTTGTTCCGTGCGGGATTCGGACGCGCGGCCCCCAGCGCTGCAACTTATTGCTAAGCCACTGCGTCATTGAACCGTCAAACCCTTAATGCTTTACTGTTATATTAGGCATGGAACTAGTGCTAAGTAATCCATCGTACCATAAAGATAGTGTTTTTACGAGGTAGATATAGTTTATAAACTGGTAAATAAAAAATGGCAGCCTTGAGAAATTCCCTTTAAAAGTCGTTAATGTGTGGTAAGTATCATGAAATGAACTTTGAACTCGTTCGTTTGTCACTTTATCCTATAGGAAAATATTTCACAGAATATTATATTTTTTTTATAGGAATAGGGTGACAAACGAGCACACAGTCCACCTGATGGTAAGTGGTTGCTGAGCCCCATAGACATCTACATTTATCTTCTATTACAAATCAAAATGCGTTGTCACCCGTGAGGATAAAAAGGGTGTCCGGTTCTCTACACTCACCATATGAAACACAGCAGTGTTAAACTGCTATTTTACGTTGGTATTCTGTGAGAGTGTAGTCCTTCCCCGGTCGAGCCGACCCATTCATGCTGCAACTATACTTTTAATATAGCTGCAGCATGGCTCTACCACGTATAAAAAATTAATGCTGCTGTGTTGCGTATGGAGAGTGTAGACAACCTCAGTGGTGACAACGCATCTGCATTTTGATTCCTAATCATAATCAAGAATAGATGTATATGAGTATGGGTCACAGCATCCATTTACCCTCAGGTGGACTATTTGCTCGTTTGTCATCCTTATTCTATAAAATAAAATATAATAATACGAAATATAAAAGATAATCTTTTATTGTAATCTGTTAATTAATCATTAATTTCTTTCCACCAGGCTAGTCCTACCTTTACGCGAAGAACCTCTAGATATTCAAACACTAGAGCCATTTTTCTCAGATGATCGCTTCAGTTCGAGATGGAAGCCACTGTCCGCGAAATATAATTACAAAAACAAAGAGGATTTTTTAGCCGTCTGTGATATAATTGACAAGTCCTATGAGATTGGTGTTCAGTATAAACTGTTTAGTTGAACTGTAATATTTAAATTATATTAAATATAATAAACGTATTGTATTTGAACGTGTCTTATTTTATTCCTATAAAATACAACATGCGGTCGCATAACGTAGCCTTTGTGTGGAACTAGGCGTGTGTATCTCTTTACGGAAACGACTCACTGATACGAATCACTGAAGTGACACAAAAGATTGGTTCAGTAACAACGTTTCAAATGTATCATTTGTATCTGGAACAGTGAAACATTACTTTGCTCTTTGCTCATTTCGCGCGACGCGTCGCTTGCGAGGCGACTGAGCCACGAGCGAGAGAGAGAGACTGAGACAATGATTAACTTAACTATTGACTCACGAGTGGCGAGTGAGCGGGCGAAATAATTATAATTCACACAGGTCAGATAGAGATAACAAATAAGAAATGTATCACTCAACTCGTACGGATTTTCGCTGACGTTATTCATGCACGTAAAAATTACCACTAAGGCGCTTATGTGTCAAATACTATACGGTCGTTTTTTGTATGTAACGTTTGCATTAACAAGTTGTCATTTTACGTTGATGCGGCACTTGTCAAATTGTTTATATTCATTAGCGCCTGTTTACGAAAACATACTGAGTTATGTTTAGGATTTCTTTGCGTAGTGATTATTGTGACTTTACTTTCTTCCTTTTCATCATAAAGTTTAGAGTTATGATACTTTACGAGTAAATTCTGTGTACATAGACATTGCTGTTTTGTGTAAATGGACATTTTTGTAAATAATGAATTGACATAGTGACATTTTTGTTAAAGTATGAAGGAGAATCGATTTTATATACAATCTTATTACGGTACACAATAAATAATCTAAGCACTTATATTATTCAGCATTGTTGCCACATAACATTTCACGGATCAGTCAGTAATAAACGCCCGCAACGCAACTTAATGTATTCGGAACATTCTTTCTTTTATATCTTTTGAGTCGATGATACAAATGAGCCAAATGAAACATATCAGTGTTTCGGAACATTTCAGTGATCAAGATGCAAATGTTCCAATCCCAAAAATGATACACTTTGCCCACCTCCATGTGGAACATGACTCCCGTGGAATCATGCGATTTAAACGATAATTAGAAAAAACCGTTATATTTTAATACAATGATTTTGTAGGAATTTTGTAGAAATTCGATACATTGACACGTATGGCCGTGTATTGATACAAAATATCGATATGCGTTATGCCGTGTCGATATTCCGATATCGTTTGTACCAAATTTGACAGTGACCAGAGCACAACATATTAGTCTGTGGACCAGAGTAAGGACGTGGTAAAGGTTAAAGAGAATAATATCACTACGTTTACATATAATTTTTTTTATAATTTTAATAGATGTACCAACTAAAGCCAACTTGTAAAAATTGCAAGTCGAGTTAACTCGAGTTGAAATTCACGCAACTCGAAGTCTTTTTTTTATAGGATAGGGTGACAAACGAGCACAGTCCACCTGATGGTAAGTGGTTGCTGTGACCCATTGACATCTACATTTGTCCTCAATAAAGAATCAAAATGCAGATGCGTCGTCACCTAAAAATGGTCTCTGGATCTCTACACTTACCACACGGAACACAGCAGTGTTAAGCTGCCATTTTACGCTGGTATTCTGTGAGAGCGTGGTCCTTCCCCGGTCGAGCCGACCCATTCGTGCTACAACTATACTACTAATATAGCTGCAGTATTGCTCTACCACGTATAGAAGTCTAAACTCGAGTTAAGCAACTTGAGTTAGCAGTACGAAACAGAGTAAATGGTTTGTTACAAATTACTTATTTATCTATCTAGCTCTTTGATGAGTTGGGATAGTTATAATTACGAAACTTATTATGTAGGATTCAAATAAGAAAAGGTATATTTAGTATGTGTCACAGACTTATGTATTTTTGGTTTTAGTCTTCGTTACGAGTATAGTAAATAAGTACCTGTATTTAACAACAAAACTATTTATATAGCAGTCTTCATGAAACAATATTAGTCTAGCTTTATGATTTAGGTACATAAGTTATCAATAGTTTAACTATCATAGTCAAAATGTTCTTAAATTAATTAATTTTTTTTCAAATTCAATATATTTTTTGTAAATTAAGTGTTAATTTAAATTAATTGTTAAAACGTAATTGTTGGCGTTAATTTAAAACATGATGTATCTTGCAACTTAAGCACTCTTTTCAGGTCTGCGACTTACAATATTGATCATAATTAATCAAAATTATAAAAGAAATTAAATTCTATTACTTACCTATTATAAAATTCTAAATAACAAATCGATTTGGTTGTAGTTAAATACTCTTTAAAACACAAAGCGTGCACATAACGAACGAATCGCGCTCTTACTCTTTTTCTGGCTCACTTGATCCGTCCATGTACAGCAGCCCAAACTCGAGTTAGGGAGATTCCAACCCGAGTTTACTCAAATTAAGCGTAACTCGAGTTTCTAACTCGAATTGACCCATCACTATTACATATCATATTAGTCTGTGCATGAAATAAATAAACGGAATTTTATTGGCCTAAAGGTCTAGATACCAGGCCATAAACTCCAAAAAAAAAACGGAATATTGTATGTACATACTGGTACATACTATGGAGTGTAGAGTAGAAGGAGGACCATCTCTGTATATGAAAAGTGTCCATAAAAACGTGTCCAATAAGGGTGGCGCTGCAGTAGTATAGGATAAATTAAAAAAGAAGCGCCAAAAGTATTTAGAGTAAGATGGAGAAATAAATAAGGACCGATCAATCCGCTTGGTTTTGTACTACGTAAATAGTTGAGATTTTGTATATTGGCGTTTTACTAACTACTCTAGTCATGAAATATTTGAATTCAGCTGACTTCACTCCGTTCATAACAGCTATCTTCATATCGTAGTTTTTCAGACACCAGCGCTATTGTGGTAGGTTTTGGAACCTCTATTTACAGTAAATGTATATACTAGAATCTACTAGTTAGTTCCTGTATAGGACAGTTATTATACCATAAGGTCCGCCACATACATACGGAATCCCGTTTCGAGATTCCGTTTCGATATTCCGATTCGAAATCCCGTACGCAGCAAGTCCATATAAAATCTATGACCCGCCACACACGTACGGTAGTTTTCCGTTCGATATTTTGCGGGCAAAACGGGATTCTGTTTGTGTGTGGCCGACCGTTCGAAATTCCGAAACGGAATCTCGAAACGGAATTCCGTATGTATATGGCGGGCCTAAAATCTATGACCCGCCACACACGTACGGTAGTTTTCCGTTCGATATTTTGCGGGCAAAATATCGAACGGAACGGCCTAAGGCCCGCCACATACATACGGAATTCCGTTTCGAGATTCCGTTTCGAGATTCCGTTTCGGAATTCCGAACGGGTCGGCCACACACATAAGGAATCCCGTTTTTCCCGCAAAATTTCTAACGGAAACCTACCGTACGTGTGTGACGGGTCATAGATTTTAGGCCCGCCATATACATACGGAATTCCGTTTCGAGATTCCGTTTCGGAATTTCGAACGGTCGGCCACACACAAACAGAATCCCGTTTTGCCCGCAAAATATCGAACGGAAAACTACCGTACGTGTGTGGCGGGTCATAGATTTTGTATGGACTTGCTGCGTTCGGGATTCCGAATCGGAATATCGAAACGGAATCTCGAAACGGAATTCCGTATGTATTTGGCCGGCCTTATATGAACTTGCTGCGTGCGTTCGGAATCTCGAATCGGAATATTGAAACGGAATCCCGAAACGGAATTCCGTATGTACTATGTATATTAGGGTGGGCCGAAAATTTTTTTCTATTTTCTTTTCGTAATAGCGATAAAAAGGTGCCTTATGGGTTAGAACTAGTATTTATGAAGTATTTTCAAATTCTGTTTTAGGTAACAGCCTCCGGATTGACTTTCAAATTTTGGAAAAATATGATTTAAGACGTGTTTTCGCAACCCAGTAAAAAACGTTCTAATTGAAGTTTTACCAAGTTTAAAGTGTTTTTCAATAGGAAATATAATAAAATTTTATTAGGGTAATACCAAACGTATCACTAATAATAACCAACGGCGTGAGGTGAGGGGGCGGGGAGCGGAGTTTGCATTTGGCGCGTTATTTTTTTCGCATCAGTGGCGCTGCGACTTTTGAGGTTAGAGGTCGCGTTTTGCTCTGTGTCACAATGGAACGTACTCGAAAGTGTTATAAATGTCCACTGCTTGGTGAATTATATGATATTAAACTCAATATGCTGCCAACATATGAAGATGTCATCAAATACTACGAGTGGACGAGAAGGCAAGTCAAGTTTAATAATAATTCCCAGAAAGAGCCATCATTTTTCGAAATCGCAGAGTTAGTGACTAAAAAATTGAAGAGATTTGGCTTAAAGCGTTGCTACCAACTGTGACACATGTAAGAGTATGTCAAATGCTAAAATCTTATCACATCAAGTACAAAAACCTTCTCAAATCCCACCCCAAAATACCTAAGAAAAACATTGACACGTTTCAGCGCGACAACAAAGTTCTCTTCGACATTTGTGTCGTTACATGTTGCAAATGCAAGAACTTGAGCGCTTGCACCTGCTCTAAGGAACGAAAAGTACCTACTGCTGAACGTGATTTTCTGATTGATCAACGCACCTCTAGAAAAATGATAATAGGAAATGTCGACGTTGCTACTACAAATCAACTCAGAAAGACATTGAAAAAAAAAATTTTCTAAGCAGCAATCCGCACAGAAAAATCAATTGGAACGAGTCGAAGTATCCACAGACCTACAACTTATTTCTTCTTCGTCTTCAATCACCGACGAAACTGATTGTGATGATTTCTTAGTGTTCGAGGAGCCCGGTAAATCTCAGCAAGAGAAGACATACCAGGATATGGATTTTTCTGCGCTTTCGAAGACATGTGACAGGTTTGGAATATCCGACAGGGCAGGAGCTGCTATTGCTTCAGTAGTTTTGAAAACTACAGACACGGCTGCCCCAGTAATT